GTACGTGTCAAGTGTTTGGTCTGAGGCCGGATTTGAACTCAGGTCCTCCTGACTTCAGCGCTCTATCTACTGCACCACCTAGCTGCCCCTGATGTCACTGTTTTTACAGCACTTTCCATGTAAGCACAAAGTAGGTGCTTAATAAATGCTTGTTGACTCATTACTCCAAAGTTTTTCTGCCAGGAGATCTTCCTTCATTTTCTTTAAATATCCATTTTAATTTAAACATTTGCTAAGCACCTAATTCGTGCAAAGTATTATTTTGGGAATATAAAAACAAAAATGGAATGTCCTCCAAGAGTCTACATTTTAATTTACCCCTTGACATTTCTAGAAATATTTCTGCTTTAAAACGAGCATTTTCCCTCAGCAGTTTTGTTTCTGGTTTTTCTTATATCTCAGAATTTTTGAATTGTATCAGAACCTTTATTCAATTTCATATAACAAGAAGAAAAAGAAAATATTTGTAAGATTTTGTTTCTTTCTGGTATTTCGATAGCTCCTGAAAAGGGACTGACTCCTCAGCCTTTACTCGCCTCTCCATCTCCCTGGAAGTTGCTGACATCCTCTAAATTAGAAACTTCCTAGCCATTAGGAATCCCAGGGGTGCGTAGGGACTTTAGGTAAAAGGATTCCTCCTCACACAGGAGGTAGGGCAATGACCACGGGGCAACGGTGCTTCCTTCCCTCACATCTGAACACCTTGAACCTGACCAGAGGAAAACTAGAAAATCACCCTATTTCTTTATCCCCAAAGAACATAATCAAGGACCAGAGAAGACCCTACAAGAAGAGACATCAGTTCTTGTCGTATTGCTCTAGTTACCTCTAAAATTCTTCATCGTCAGTGCAAGCTGGGATAGAACAAGCCCCAGTATGATAACACATGTGAACAGCCTTATTAGTTGGTGTATGTTGGGCTCTGCTTCTCATTTACAACAACATAAGCCTCATAATGTTCACCTGTCAAAGAGCAACACCCTGAGACAAGCAAAAGAAAAGGCTAGATAGTTAGGCACCCTGAGGCCTGGGTTCTGTCTTTTGCTTAAGAGATCGGAGAAGAGTTTGTTAAGGCATTATAAGAAATAATGAGCCCATCTCTAGCCAAAACTCAACTTTAGGCAGCAGAAACAACACCACAAACTTCTAACTGTTCAGGCCAATATTCAAAGCTTAAATAACCAGATTTGGGGGAAAGGGTTCTCGAGCTTCAGAGATTAATCTGATTTGCATTTACCTATGACACTACAGTGTGGGTGTGTGTGTTGGTCAAGGGAAGTACACAGAACGAAAAAAGACAGCTGGGTGAATGATGCTGCTGCAGTTTAATAAAGGTGAGAGAAAGGATTGGCATCAGACCTTTGGTCTCACTACATATGGGCAGTCAGTGCATGGGTCTTCATGGTGACCTCAATACTGCTTTTTTTGTGATCAAAAGAACATACAGAAATATTAAGAGTTGAGAAAATGTAATACATTTATCTATTTTTAACTGACTACACAAAATTTAAATGTTAAGTTGATAGGCCAAATGTGGATGTTTTCCTAGAGTCATTTTTAGGTTGGGATTATACAAAATGGGGTAACAATTTCAAAAGTCTTCTCAGAGGTTCCATGTTAATGATCACTGTAATATGCTCACCCCATCTCATATCAGATATTTCCCCAATATGTGCTGTTCAAAATACCTTATTTGTAGTCTTACCCTGTTGGGAAAGGGGGTGCACCCTCCTGCTGGCCTGGGGCATCCACATGGCATACAGCAAAATGCTGGGTAATCTCTTGCATGTCTTCAAAGTTAAAGAATGCATTAAAACAGGACTTATCTGGGGGGGGAAAAAAGGACCCAGAGGTAACAAGCCATTCATTTCCACTCAATTTATTTTAAATCAGTTTTTGCATTCAATCCCCTTCCTACACAATACCTCTTTGCTATTTAAATCTCACAGCTTCTTTCTGCTAAGTCACTTACTTTTCTCTCTTACTGCTATCCCACTAAGCAAAATATTTAGAAGGTTCCATGTCAGACATTTCAGTAACTGTTTTTTAAAAAATTGACCATTCATTTCTAATTCTTTATATTGTCAATGGTAAATTGGATGGTGAAACTATATGTACCATCAGTGATAATACATAAAATGGCATCCTCCACAAATACACTTTCTTGTTAACTTGTGTGTACATGCTCCATGATTTTTGTGCCTTTC